CTTAGAGCCTATAAAACCCACATATACTCATTTATTAATAAACCTAACCCTAAACCCTACCCCTAATGCTAAAAAGATCCCCAAAAAATGTCACACAAAAAATTTTATATTTTTTTAAAAAACAGAAAAATTTCATTTTGATTAGATTTTATTTTAATCTATGACAATAACTTCTAATATTTAACTAAAATTTTTCTTAGAATTTTGGAAATTACTTTTGAAAAAGTTTTTTTTATTTTTAATATCTTTGTAATTATCCACTTCTTAATTCAATTATTTGTTGATAAACTAATTAAATAAGCTCTCAAAGCCTATCTATTATTACTATTTATTCTGTATTGTAGTTTAACTAGTTTGTTTTTAAAGTCTTCTAATATTAGTTCTTTGATTTGATTAAACTATTTAGCTGTTTTGTCTTAATTATTATCTTTTTAAAAACTTGAGTTGTTAAGTCTAACAGTTGATTAATAAAGATTAAACTAAGGCTTTTAAGGCAGTATCTTTCGCGTATTTGGCTTGGCGCTGGTAATCGAGATTTTAGCTTTATAGCCAACAATAATGAACTATATAAGGAATCGATTTTACTAATTTTTTACTTTCCTAAAAACTATTAAACACTTTAAATTTCGAAGGAAATTTGATTTATAGATTTATTAGTTACGGTTTGAATTTCATTTTTATGAATATTTTTCAATTGTTGTGTATATATTCAATATAACCATTAGACCTATTGTAACATATCTCTTTATTCAATATGTCCTGCTTAGCTTCTAATTCCTCTTAAATTCTTAAATTGAAAATAAAAATACCGAATTTTTAATAATTTATAAATTTAACAAATTTGATTTTGAATTTTGCGTTATTAACTGAGAATGGACATATATTTAAATTTTGGTTTTTATCTCAAATGAAGCAGAAATACTGATTTTCAAACCAATCTATGTAATTAAACAAAGGGTTTGGGTCACAACCCTATTCATATCGATAGTCATCAGTGTAACTGTCCCTACGATCATCTCGACGATTTCGTCGTGAGCTTCTTCGAGATCGATCTCTTGATTTATCTCTATGACGGTCTAAAGACATACTTCTTGAGCGATGAGATTCGTCTTCACCGCTTTTTTCTCGATTGGCGCGTCTTTGTTCTCGTAAATAATTTCGTTGAGCAGCAAATAGTTCCTTTTTTAAATAACGAGATACTTCTTTCAAATGCATAAAATTACAAAAACCTCCTCGAGTACATTCTGCATTCTCATTCTGACGACAACACGCTTCTCGAAAATCCGTTACTGGTGAAAGTTCTGCGTAAATTGGTCGTCCTTTGCCACAATTAAAGATATGAATTTTATGGACTTGAGGATTTAATGTTAGCTTGAATAAGGATGTTTTAGCTTACCAGCATAAAATCTTTGATTTAGATTATCTACAGCTTTTTGTGCGTCTTCTTCATATCTAAATCTAGCGTAAACGTTTCCAATCAAGTGATCGCCAACGTTGTCACAAACGTGCATCTCTTCAACCTCACCATATTTGCATAACTCTGTAAAAAAATCTTCATAGAAGTCATCAAAGTGCGCCTGAATTTGTTCCTCTGACATATTACAATTCGTGTCATGCGCGGGATTTTGGTAGATGTTAGAGCATAGGATTGTTTGCGAAAAGGTCGGTTTAACATGCTTTCTACTGCAACGATCACCGTGGCGACAAGCTCCAATTTTAAAATAAAAGGAGCAATTGACTCTACAAAAAAAAAAAAAAAAAGGATCAGTGGAGTAAAAAAGACATTTATAGATATGTCATTAAATTCGCAAAATTAACTTGTCTTTTTCTGTGCCATAAATCGAAGCCAAGTATTCTGCCATATTCGCGTATTCAAATTTTAATGATAGTGGGTTTTGAACTTTCGACGATGATGGTGATTCGTTGTCTACCAATAAATACGCCCAGGTCTACGAAACAGGGGGAACCGTCCAATGTTACACGAAGTTCATGTATTGTCACATGCTGTTCAGCCAATCAAATCGTAAGAT